TTTTCCTCACACATCTTTTTCTTTTCCATACGTTTCCCCTTTCTTAACTTTTTTTTTTGTTTTAATTTTTTCTAAATCTTGTTTTTTTTATCCTTTTTTTTTTTTTTTTTTTTTTTAACCGTGTAAAAGCTCGATTTGTCAATGATAGTCGAAGCGAAAAAATTTGCCATTTACTACTCGTTTAATTTCTTAGGCCTATTACTATTATATTTCATTACTGACAATGAGTCATATCGTGAATTAGTTTTTCTTCCTTCCTTCCTACCCTTCCTTTTTTGCTTGTTTTACTTTTTTTTTTAACTACAAATTGTAATTTTTGTGAATTGTTCTTTTTTTTTTTATATATATATAAATATTTAAATATTTATCGTTGAAAAGACAAGCTTTGATGAATATGATGTGCAACAAAAAAACATGTTTATTACGAAAATAAAGACATTAAAAAAAAAATAAAAACAATTATGAATGATTTAAATCGTTAATTTTGCTATCAATGAATTACGTTAAGTCAGATTGATAAAGTTTGCTCTCGAAGCTAGTTTTTTGCGTTGTAGTTTAAACTCGTCGATAAATTGTGCGTTTATTAAATACGAATTTGTAAAGTGTACACTGTCCGCTCATTCGTATATATACGTATTTATGTATTTATTTATTTATTTATTTATTTATTTGTATTTATATTTATATATATGTTCTTTTGAAGTTTTTGATATTTGACAAGCATTTTATATTCTATTTTTTTTTTCCTTTTTTTTTTTTCTTCATCGACAAATGAATGATATTTTATTTGCGCGACGCGATCATTCCTTTTTTAGTCTTTTTTTTTTTTTTTTAGAAATACGATATCACATGAACGAGCACTTCTATTATATAAATAAATGAGATTATGTGTTTTTATATGGTATGTTAGCAAAAAAAAATCTTTTTTTTTTCTTCTTCTAAGTTGTTTTTTTTTCATCGTTTCCTTTTGTTTTCTAATCATTCATCAAAACTCGACCTCACGATGAAACATTTTGGTTTTTAAATAATTTTCCCCTTTCTTTTTACCGACTATGTTTTAGCGCAACGATAATGCTTGTATGTATAATTTTTTTTTTTTTTCATTAATAATAATATACGAACAATGGAGCGGCACTAATCTCAATTGCATAAATTTAATAATTTGACTATTATATACCGGCGCGTCTATTATTATTATTATTATTATATTTATTTTTAATATACTGGAGAAAATGTGTGTGTGTTTTTCTTTTCATTCTTTTTTTTCCGTATGCTTCTATTTTTTTTTCCGTTTCTTTTTTTTTTGTTCTTTATATCTCTCACATATGCCTGAGAAATTTCATATTCGAACGCTAACCACCGTTGTTAATATTATTATTATTATTATTATTTATATTAATGTTATTAATATTATTAATATTATTATTATTAGATACACGTGTTTTTAGTTTTTATAGTTTATCGAGTTACGATTTGACGTTATCAATTTTGTCAAGAATACACTTGCACTGATTGACAAGCGTTTCAGATTAATTCAAAGTACATTACCATGTATTTATGTACATAAATACTTTTTCTTTTTTCTATATCGATTATGTCATATCAACGATAATAATTGAAATAATTTAGCTTTAACTAGCGTGTGAATTTTTTATCTTAAAACAAAAAAAAAAGAAAATAAATAAAAATGATCAAAGCTGCGTTCAAAAGTTTAACGAGTTAGGCACGAACTCGGTTGTTTTTTTTTTTTTTCTTTAAAAAAGAAATTTAGACGATTGCAATAATAAGATACGTTCAAATGAATTCTTGTCGATGGGCAAGAAGACGTTAACACTGTGTAATTCGTTGATCGCCTAAGCAGTTGTCCGAATGTCTGCAATTGAAAAACTCGATAAATAATTTAGGAAATTGCGAATATACGATTTTTGTGTGTTGAAAAGCCTCAAACTCTTACAACATTGATTGATTAGTTTTTGAGCTGCACTTTTGTGAAATTCAATATCCCAAAGTATGAAAATTGTATCGAAAAATAAAAAAAATTATCGTAGTTATCAGAATTATTTGTTTGTAAATATGCAGCTCAAAATGTCTGATATGATAGTGATCGCAAATCATTACGTTGTTCCGAGTTATATTATTTTCATTAGATATTTAAATGTTTTGTTAAAAAAAATCGATTACTTGAAATAAATTTCTTTTTAAATATATTCTTTAGAACCTTGATAAAAATCGTATCTCAGAACAACGTCACTAGAATTAATTTCTTCATCCGATATTATCTCACGTTGATTATTTACCAGAGTTTGTTGTTAATAATAGAGAGAAGAAAAATATTGCAATTTCGTGTTACTTGGAAGAAATTGTGTTAGAGAAACGTATCTTCGAACAACTGTTTTCCTAATTCCGAAATTGTTGATCATTGAAATGTTTTCTTTTTTTCTTTAATAATAAAATAATATTGATAGAATTTTTTAATGAGCGTTGTCCTATGTGGTCTCCTGTTGACAGTAGACAGAGTACCTTGCTGGTAAAACGAGGGCTTCGAGTTCAGCAGAAAGATGTCTCCTGATCATGTGTTTGGCAGGTGGTATACCCAATGCTGTAGCCATAGTGTCGCCTGAGAAGGATTGTTCCAATACTACGATAGCACCATGTACACCTGAATCTAGAATTGAATTAATTGCACCTTATGCTTAGGCGGATTAAGTCGGTTTGACCTTGAAAGAAAGGAAATCGATTTACTTCGTAAATAGATTATAGATTTGATCTAGAGAATTCGATCGAATGGTCAACAGTTGATCTTACCTTTCAAATTTTCAGCATATTCGGTCAAATCTATGTTACGAGCCCATCGTATAAACCTTTGATTGGTCCACACCAAAGGATCCGTGTCCACTTGTTCGCATTGATGTCTCCTAACAGCGAGTGCCTATAATTTAGAATTGAATTGAAATAATTAGGATTATTGATTAATCGAATTAAGATCAAATATTGTTCATAATTTTCGATCATCTACATTTACCTGACGATCGTAATTTAACATTCTCAACAAATGTATTCCGTGTACGATACTAGCTTGATGAAACTTCCTCGAAACGCCAAGAAGTTTTTCCAATTCTTTTTTATTTAAATGATCGAGCATACGCGCGTCGACCATGTTGGTAGCAAAACTTTCCGAGTATTGTGCTAACCCAAGATCAGGTAACCACTCTGAGCTAACCCAGGTGTGACCAAGTTGTGCTATACAAGGATACCTAACCAGATTAGGATGTCGGTGTTCTTCGATAGCTAACCGCAATTTTTTTCTATGAAGAGGATGAGTCACACCTAATCCTGCTTCTAACTCTGCATCGCTTAGCTCAAGAAGAACCTGAGAACACGATGTTATATGATACATAACAAGATATCTAATAATAAGGAAGGATTATTTGAAAGTAATAATCGTTGTTGTTACCTTGCCAGATTTGATATTTTCTGCACACCTCGGACCATATTGTGGCATACCAAGTGCAACTTCGAGCCATGCCAAAACAGTTGGTGCTCTCCATCGTTCCATTGGTACTGAAGCAGCTTCTCTCAACAAACGAAGCTTCTCGGCATAACTTTCTTCGGTTAATGGGGACGACCATGCTCTATAAGGATCGAATCCTTCCGAGGATTCGTTAGCTCCACTTCCACCGCTGGAAGTGTTCGCACTTTTTCGATTTCGTGATCGTGCGAAAACCCTAAGCAAAAAAGATACAAAATTTCTTTGTACAGTATTCCAATGTTAAATGTTAAAATATATAGTGTTCAGCCAGTTATAGTATACTTAAAGAAAGATTTTACCTTGATATGGAACCCCATGTACCACCTCGAGTAGCGGAAGAGCGTGAATGTGTTGTTGGTGCTGCTACTGTTGGTACTTGTTTGCTTCTTCTTGGTTCGGGTTCTAAAGGACTCGACAATTGTTCCACCGATCGCGATAACGAAGTGTTGTCTGCAGATCTTGAAAATGCATTCAGTGGTGACAGCGTGGGACTACAATCCTTTGGTGTCGTCGCTGCTGAAAGACAAATTCTATTTTAACTGAATTGTATTTAGTATTGTCATTTGTGTATATATATGTAAGATATTTGATAAGGTGTATGTTGTGTATGTGTTAATCTACTTTTCTTTTTTCTTTTTCACTGAACGTGTTTTCTTATTTAATACTATCAATTTTTTTTTACGACTCTGTTATGTCACTCTTTACTAGCATCAGCACACAGACACACACATATTCAAACGCATTGTTACATAAGTTAGTCGACTATTCTTCGAATTACTATAGGAGTCTGAAATAATTAATTGATCGTTGAGCTCAATGTAAGGGAAGGGGCTTACAATTCGTGCAATATTTCCTTTTCACTATAATAACCTACGATTTTGTTATTATTTCTTCTTTTTTTTTTTTTTATAATTTATTATTATCAACTTATACCTCTCAGGAATAGAAGCATGCGCATGCAATTGGTTTTTGAACGATTATCAAAGATCTCTCCTGGCATCTCCTTTAAAAAAAAAGAAGCAAATACGATTTGGATAATCGAACACCTTTGCTCTCGTAATTAATATCCAAGAAAATCGATAACAATATTATAAAATCAGATAACGGAAATATTTCTATATGATGACGGAAAAAATGTTGACAAGTATTTCGATAAGATGGAGCATGTTGAAAATAAACGACGAGTACCGATTATACTTTGCCACTTACACTGATACATGTGGGAAGGTGCTACGGAGGATACCACTGAGATGTTGTCCATGTCGGGACCGCTTCCTTCGATCGTAATAGTCGGTGTTCCTGCGCGTAAAATAGTATAACGAACATAAATTAAACAATAAACAATAATTCATGTAATAACACGAATTTTTCAACATTCCTGTTGCATATCGAGACGTAGAAATATGATAATTAAAAGACATCTTTCATTAATGAACAATGATGAGAAACAAATGCAGAACCCCATTTATATATTTCATGGAATCTTGTACTAAATGGAAAAGCGGGCTCCCTGATAGCTTGTAACATTTACGAAAATTTTATTTGGAAGAATATCTGATTGATTAATTTAATAATTACAAAAAACAATTTAACTGATTTTCTCTATTATTCACAATGTTGGTCTTTGCAGCGCCCTGTACCACTGAGTAGTTAGTACAATTATGAATACGGCCTTGAGAAAAAGAACACATATACACATATGAACAATAAAATAATAGAAAATAGATAAAACGTTAATAAATTAATCAGGAAATTTGATTAATCGATAGAGCCTATAATTCTAATCGTTTTCTATAAATAATTGTAACAATGACGAATCTTGTAGTTCTTCTCTCATCGATTTTATCATAGTTCGATAAAATAACTGTTACAAATCCAAGTTGGAACGCTAACATTATCTCAATACGGCTTTCTAATTCCACCAAATGAATAGGTCAGAGAAATCTTAGAAGAGCTGTTGCTAATCCTTACGAAAAAATAACTGACGAACTAACAACAAGTTGGAAATCATTTTCATAAATGGACAATAAACGATGGATAAGGATAAGGATGAGTGACGTAGCTCGGTAGATTTTTACAACGACCAGTGCAAACCGATAATTCTGCTCCTTTCGAGCACACCTAACTTATTATTAACGGATGAGTTACGAGTTTGAACGAAGACGTGGGCTGAAAAGAGATATGACTTACAAGAGGAGAGATGGTCGTCAAGCGAACCAATCACTAGAACACACTCAAGCGTGTCATTTTACTAATAATTATAATAATAATAATAATAATAATAATAATAATAATAAGAGAGTGGACATCAGCGTGCTTTGATAATAACGTTGACGAACAATATTAAATGACAGATTATTATACTATCCGATGTTCAACAAAAGCTACGTCAACTAAATCAATGAATAATGCGTTTCAAAGTGCGTATACGTGCGCTAATTTAAGATATTATTTTTACCTCGTGTTAATATTTAGTATGTGTGCAAAATATGTGTATCGTATTTGTGTATGTGACGAATAAAAAATTGAAGAAAACTTACCGTCGGTCGTAGAATCTGAAAGATTTCCACCGATACTGGTCGCACCACCACTTTCTCGATCGCTGGATCCACGCACACCACTATCCGCACTACAGCTACCACGATCTCCGGCTTGTCCACCCGAGGAAATTGCACCTGTACCACCACCACTCATATTACTGGCCACCCCCAACTCCGTAGTCCCTAAGGGTGGCTGAGAATTGATATGAGGGATGATACCACTACCACCAACAACACCAACACCAACGCCACTGTTACTTCCAGCACCTGGAGTTGCGACCCCATTAACTGTGCCACGTGGGAAGGACACTAAAGACTCCTGATCGCTCAAACACCCACCACCGCCACCGCCCATCAATTGTCGTTGAAGCTGTCGATCAAAGATAATACCTTAGTAAACAATACGTTTATCCTATACGTGTACTGCGTTGTAACATAAATTCGTCTCGTTGTTTAAATTAGGATTTTATTCAAGAAAAATAAGTGATTAACCTTTGACGTTTTTAAATTGGTACAAACAAAATTCGAACAACTAAATATTTTTCTAAACAGATAAAATGAGACAAATCTATGATTACAATTCCAATAGATATGGTTAAAATTCAATTAGATTTTTGTACCTCTTTGATAGTAGCACGTGCATGCGATAATGCAACTTCTTTGTCAGCCAAACTCGCAGCAAGACTTAGACTTCGATCTGCCTCATCTCTCGCTGCTCTTATAAGACTCCAACGTTCCCTCTCTCGTTCTCTTTCGCGCTCCTCCGTGGATATGCCACCTTCCTGCTGTTGAAAACGTCCCAACGTAGCTTCGTTTTCTCGCATACGCTATAATCCAAATGAATTAAGAACCAAATACTAAGAACCAAAAAGCAAAACCACCCCCAAACGAAAAATACCTGAACGGCAATCAACTGTCTAAAATCAATCTAATCAATCTAATCGATAATAGATCACCTGTTCGTAATTACGTATAAAATCACGCAGTTCTCGTTCCTTGTCTTCAAGGGTACCATACAAAGCTTTCATCTGATTGAGCAGATCAAACTTTTCAGCCTTCAATCGTTTACGATCGGCTTTAAGAACCTGCAAGGCTTCCTTCGTATGTTGCAATTCCATTTCGAGGGCGACAAAGCGTGCCTCTTCCTCCAATGCCGTATCTTCTGCTCCGACCTCGCCACGAGCAGCCCCGCTGAGTAACAATCTCCTCAACCTTGCAACTTCAGCTACTAATCTTTCGTTTTCCAATCGCAATCTTCTAGCGCTAGCCAATTCCACGGCACCACCGCTACTTCCGCTGCCATGAAGAATCGATAATCTTGTATCAAGGACGCTCTCGTTGCAAATTCCTATAACACAAGAAAACAAAAAAATATTTGATGAATATATAAGAGTACAGAGGTAATAATTTCAAAGAAAATACTTTACCCAAAGAATTAGCAGGCGAAGCAGGTCTACTTCCAGGTGCTGGATCGGGTGGTTCATTATCTTCTTCCGGTCTAACGTCATTATCGACAATATCCTTACGAACATCAGTTTCCGGATCGGTCGTAACTCTACAAAATCTCCTCGATCTTAAAGAATCCGGATTGGTTGAGATTCGAAGCCTTTCCACGCCGGAAAGGTCGCTACAACCACGATGTAGAAAGGAGGTCCTGTTAGATGAACCCCTATCGGGGCTGGCACTTCTAGATCGTGAATCTAGATTCCTCCCGGATTCACCGAGTCGTGTCTTATCGCGATTCAACGCGTATGACCTTCGAGTTTTCTCGCTTGGACTTCGGCAGGGCGAACTGTTTCGAGTTTCTGAACAAACATCGAAACGTTATTGGGATCGGCTCAATAACGAGATTGATTTAGAATAAAGTTAAGACTGTTTGATACGAACCTATGGGACTACTTTTTCGATCTATTGGACTGGACCTGTCCTTCCTATCGATGGGACTATTTTTCTTATCGATCGGACTAACGGATTTATCACTTGCCGAACTTCTCTTCTCAATAGGGCTGCTATTCGCACTGAACCTTTTACCATCTTCCTGCGTGTGTGCTTGGGGTTCGCTTGCCTCTTGACAGAGATTTGGATTACCGATACCACTGGAAGCTGCTGCTGCTGCTGCTGGTGATGATGCATTGTTGTTACTGCTTATACCACCAATGTTAGCCAGATTGCTGTTACTCGTAGTACCACCGTTATTGTTCAATGCTGCTGCTGCTGCTGCTGCTGCTGCTACTGCTGCTGTTACCGTTCCTGATGATGACGATGTACTAACTACAACGTCCCGTGATTCTCCACGTAAGATTGCGTTCTCTCCTCTTCCACGTTGCAACTCCCCATCCAGTCGTGCTCCCGTCCCTGCGTTCTCCTCCACCATGACGAACAGTTTTGTCTGCATTAAGAACAAACGGGTCACGTTAGGGATCGACTAAAACGATAAATCTTTTGTCTCCGTAAAAAAGAAAAAAAAAAAAGAATAAAAGAGTTTTTAGAGAAATTATGATTAAACGTTTATCTGTATGTGTTTGCATATACCTGTGCATCTGCGAGGATGCGTTCGATTAAATCCAAGGTGGGCTAGTTTGCAAGCTCATGTTTGTGGATTTTTGTCCGTTAGTTTTCAATACTATAACAAATAATTTGTAGTTTTTGATTACTATTATTACCGTTTTTGATAAAGAAAAAAACAATAAATTTCAAATTTCGCGTTAGAAATTTGAAAATTTGAAAATAAAGTATCAATGAAAATGATTAACAAAACTAAAGGATCATTTTCGTAGGATTGTGTTCTCTCTCTCTTTTGTAAGACCCAGTACTACACACGTTTCACCCTACCGTCAGATATTGATTTAGTATTACGAGTGAGAAAGCTTTATTCTACGACAGAGAGCTCGTTCTGTTGCTTTCATATTTTTTTTCCCCCCCATTTAATCAATGTGCGTTCGATTTTTTTTTTTTTATTTTATCCTCCGGAATATGTAACAGACATAATATACGTCTGCGATTGAATAATACTTTCGCACCACAGCGAAACAATCGGCTTATACAATTATCTCGAGAAAAATTAAGAAAAAAAAAAAAAGAATAAAAATGTATCTACATATTTTACTCGCTCGTTATAAAAGAAAATGAAACCAGGGAGTTTCGTCCCTAATATTCATAATTCTTGAAAAGTAATTAATATAAATAATACGCAACACACACACACACATTTATATATATATATATTTCGTTTAAACGCTTAACAAGTTTTAAAATCCTTTTGGTATATTATATCTGAGCAAACAAACGCGCACATACTCGTACTTTTTCGTGTAATGAAACGAAAATATAAAGTAACGTTCGTAAATGTCGTTTGAAAATTAACTTGATTAAATTCACTTTAGGACATACGAATAGTAGATATATGTGTGTATCTGTATATGAGTGTGCGTGTACGTTCCAGTGAGAAAAAATCTCATGCCACTCAAATAAGGTGAAATTAAAAACGTTATGATCCCTAGTACTGTTCGAGTTCGTTGGTTGGTTCGTTGGTTGGATGGTTGGTTTGGTTTAGTTGAATGCGGGATAGTTAAAAGAGAGTACCTATGTATTTCAGCTTTCATTTTTTCGCATCGCGTTTCATTAACACGATATTTGCGTTTGACTTCGTATAAAAACACGAACGATTTATCATCATAGTAGCGTAGATATATACGTGAAAATTGTACAAGAGAAATCTCTCGTGTCATTTTTTTGGAGGGTGAGAGGAAGGTAGGGGGGGGCTTACATTTGAAATTTCAACCGAATCTGAAAAATTCGTTTATTCTTCAAAAGGATTTGTAATTGACATATATAACAAAAAGTAACATAAAACGTAACGTTCGTTAATAACGAATATTCGATAATAAATAAAAATATTAACGCAAGATTAAATCAATTTTTCTTTTTTGCGAAGTACACATTTTCCCCTTCTTTTAAAAAATATTAACAAAGAATAACGATTCATTAAAAACAAAAACAAAACAAAAATAATGATAGAACACGAATAAAAAATGTTCAAGATTACGAATTAAAAAAAGGAAGAAAACAAATAGATAAGAAGAATATTAGCTAATTGGTGTAATGTAAAGGACATAAGTACAAATGTATGTAAGTGCTTAACAAATAGGCAGAGGAGTTTCGTGTTCCGTAACGACAAAGGACGATATGAAAAGGGTTATTAAAAGGAGTGTAACAAGCCAGATCGTTTTCGTCGATATGTAAACTGATAAAATATCATTAAAGGGTATTCAATCTATTTTATCATTGTGAATGATTCCTATTACATGCGTTAATATTAATAATTAATTAACTTAAGTATTGCATTATCAAACGATCATTATAGCGTTAGATATTTATTATAGATATATTAAATAATAATTAGCAATGAATGTTGAATAAATTTCATTGATACGAGATTAGGTTATTTTTCTTAGAGTTCATTCGAAGTCGAACCATTTGAGTCGTTTTAATCAAACATGTAAATGTTACTTTTCATCGAATCGGAATTATAGTTGGTTTAGTGGGCAGCCAGAAATACATTCCTTGCTCCCTTTCTCCCCTCACCCCTTTTCATATCTTTTCTACCTTTATCCCTTTTTCCTTCTCGTACAAACGTTTAACTCCGCACCCTCGGGATCGCGAGTTCATTCCGCTTGCTATCCAATAAGTAAAGACTCGAGTGTCGCAGGTTATATCAAAGGAAGATAGAGGGTTTAACATTTAAAACTAAATACAAGTCTTCAGATCATTCACAAAATTTGTTGAAAATTAACAAATTTGTGATATACAATTATGATAAAGTTGAATTATTTTGAAACATTTAAAATAAATATTAATTAATTCGTTACTCTAATTTAAATATTAAATAATCAAATATTTATAATTTCAATTGTGTTAAGTAAAATCAAATGAAAATACAATAATATTTCAAACTAAATCGAAATCTCCATATTATTTAAAACATTGCAGAGAATTCGAAAATGTGTTTTGTATATAGTTGGAGGAACAATTTGTAAATAAAAGTCAGATATTATTAAATTTCAAATAGATAATAATTAATTTAGTACTGTGATATAAATAACAAATAAAAACAATATAAATAAAGTTAAAATATACGGGAGAAAAAAAAAAATATCTCGAATGCAGGATTTTAATTAAAACTTTAAACGGTAGGTTTAGTGACGTTATCCTAATCCATGGAGATTAACTTGGTCTTCATAAAAAAAAATAAAAAAAAAAAAACATAAATTAATTAAATAACCACGTTTTACCGTATTTAACAAAAAAATTATCGAAATTCATTTATATTTCTTTCTTTTTTTTTTACTATACACCTATACTTAATGATCTCCTAGATTTACAATAAAAATTTAAATTCTCATAACTTTAATCATATTCGTTATGTTACATTGAATTCGAAAAGATGATAATAAAAAAGAATTAAATAATAATAATAATAATAATAATAAAATCTCGTTGTCACACAATCGAATGATTTTGATTTGCATCTCTCTCTTTCCCTCTCTCTCTCTCTTACTTTTTCTTTCTTTCTTTCTCATTCTCAAGTGACGTCACGTCACAGAGCCTATACGCAAGTTTCGCAACTTCAACTTTAATTGGATGACATCCCTACGGGAGATGGAGTTCCACATTTCAGTCGGCATCTCCGTTCGAACGTGATACGTGACGCGGATAGAACGTAATTCCTTTGCGTCGAACGAATTAGAAAAGATATCCAATTAAAAAATTCCACGCTTATATCTACTTGTTTTTCTTTTTTTTTCTACTACCCCAATCCACCCCCCCCCTTCTCCACCCCTTTATCTCTACTATATTTTATTGTTTCTGTTCTCTCCCTTTGTCTCTTCAAACGGGGGATGAACACACTCGCATTAAAGTTTTTCCACCGACTATGCTCTTCTCGTGAAAACAAACTAAAAAAAAAAGAGAGAAAAGGAAAGAAATAAAAACAAAAAATAAAAGGAAAATATAAAAATGACAATAAGAGATAGGTTCTTTCTTTTTCTTTCTTTTTCCTTTTTTCTTTTTTCTTTTTTCTTTTTTTTAATATGCATATATGTATAGTAAATGGACGTATATGAGTATACGTGTGTATCCTTTTAGGTTCCAGGAAGGCGAAACTTTTCACGTATTTTAAAGTCCACATCTCCCTCGCGCTGTGCTTTTATGCAAAGTATCAAGCTACTCTTCACGGAGGGGGCGTAAGCCCTATTGAAAATGGGCGTCCGCCTGTTCGTAGTACTTCTACATTGACGTTACCCACCACATGTTTGTAGTCATTATCTTTCAAATTGCTTGTCTCTAATCGCGAGGGTAACCGCGTTTGGCCGTTGCCTTTACAAATGAATTCCTTTTCCGATTCAACACCGATAATACGAGGAAGGAAGGAAGGAAGGAAGGAAGGAAGAAATGAAGGAAGGTAGGAAGCCAATTGTATAATCATCTTAATTCATGTATTCCCTATCCCCTTCCCCTTAAAAACAACCAAATTTCTTTATTATTTTCTTTCCCTCTTGTACATTATTTTTTCTTTTTCAACACACATGTTTCATTAGTATTGTATACCCGTCTATTCAAAAGAAAAGAAAAGAAAAGGAAAGGAAAGGAAAGGAAAATATCAATGAGTAAGTTCGAATGTGTTGCCATTATTTGAAAATCCGTCGATGCGGCATCATATTTTAGCATGAGTGAACGCATAGTGTGTGCTTGGATAACACAGAACTCGAGTAGGCAGAGTAGGTAACGTGCGTGCACTTCTCTTGCAAACGTTATACGAGGGAGTGAATTCGAGAAATGAAATGGAATGGTAGTCGAAAAAGAAAAAGAAAAAGAAAGAGAAAGAGAAAAAGAAAAAGAAAAAAAGGTGAACGAAGACAGTGAACAGAGTATACCGCGTGGATGGTTCAGTTTGGATTGTGGGTAGGCGTTCCGGCATGGGTTCGGGCCCTTTTTTTTCTCCGCACTACCACAACCGGCACACCACCAACCTATACCTCCCTCCCCTCCCCAAACATCCCTTACTCCACCCCCACCCCTAACCTACGTTCTCACCAACTAAACTCTAGAACAGGGATCTTCAACCATTTTTCGATTCATCACTGGGGAAATACTTTATGACATTTATATCCCTGTGTGTGTGTATATATATATATATATATATATATATGTATATGACTACGTAACGATAGAAGGGATTACGGCTTTTATCGTACGTTTAGCATTTTAGGGATGATGATAAAAGACAATGAGAGTGATAGGAATATATGTATGTATATTTGAAATATGATAGGGGAAGTCATCGTTCGAGAAGCACGTACACTTCTACGTGGATGAATGGGAAGGATGAAGAGGACTATTTCAGCAAGCAAGGAAGCAAGTAAACAAGCAAGCCAGCAAGTAAAGCTAGCAGGCAAAGGAAAGGCTGGCAGGAATTAGAGAGAGGGGTAGCTGGGTTGACAATCCCTGTCGTTGGGTGAGCAAGAGGAATGGGAGTGGGAGGGAACGCTCATGGATCAATACCACCACGGTGGGATGCAGGGCAAGCAGGAGCATGCCCCGGTGGCACGCGCATACGCCGTTTGT